TCCTTCCCTCTCTCCCTCCCTTTTTCCTTTTCCCTTCCTCCCTCCCTCCCTCCCTTCCTTCCTTCCTTCTTTCCTTCCCTTCCTTTCCTTCCTTTCCTCCCTTCCCTTCTTTTCTTTTTGTTTTTGAGACAGGGCCTCTGTCACCCTTGCTGAAGTGCAGTGGCATGATCTCAGCTCATGCAGCCTCAACCTCTTGGCCTCAATCAGTCCTCCCACCTCAGCGCCCCTGTAACTGGGACAACAGGCGTGCACCACTGTGTCTGGCTAAGTTTTGTATTTTTTGTAGTGACAGGGTTTCACCATGTTGCCCAGGCTGGTCTTGAACTCCTGGGCTCAAGTGATCCACCCACCCAGCCTCCCGAAGTGCTGGGATTACAGACGTGAGCCACTACTCCCGGCCCCTGTACATCGTTTCAAAATGATTATATCATATCATAATTTTAGTTAAATGAGTATTTGGTGTTTACAGTTTTATGACCATGAAAACACTATTGTCAGCCTTGCGCAGTTGTATTCCATGATGGCTTTCCCTTCATTATACAACTTTTTGTTTTGCCTAATATTAACACAGTTTTTGTTTCTTGTTTGCTGAGTTTTCTATATTCTCATTGCTAATGATTGTTCTCTATTGCTGCTGTAACAAATTACTACAAATTTAGTAGCTTAAACAGAACCACTTCTTATTTCACAATTCTGTCGGTAAGAAGACTGAGTAGAGTGTTTCTGCTGGGATCCTCCACTTAGAGTCTCACAAAGCAAAAATCAAGGTGTCAGCTGGGCTGCATTCCTTTCTGGAGGTCATGGAGTTGAATCCACCTTCAAGCTCATGGAAGTTATTGCTCAGATTTCATTTCTTGCAGTCATTTCCTTCCTGGGTGGAATCCAGGGGTTGGTCTTTGCTCCTAGAGGCCACCTGCATTCCTTCTCATGCCTTTTATGTACTCCTCTTCCCCTGGCAATGGGGCTCAAGTCCCTCTCACAGTTAGAATCGTTGCCACTTCCCCTCCTTCATCATCTCTCTTGCTTCCTCTTCTGCCACATCTCTCTCACTTCAGCTGGAGAAAGTGCTCTGCTTTTAAGGGTTCAGGTTGAGCCCACCCAGATAATCAGGATAACCTACCTGTTTTAAGGTCTGCACCTCAATCACATCTGCCAAGTTTCTTTTGCCATGTAACATAATATATCCACAGGTTCCAGGGATTGGGGTATATACATCTCTCTTGCTTTGTTTTGTTTCTTTTTTTTTTTTTTTTTTGAGATGGAGTCTTGCTCTGTTCCCTAGGCTGACGTGCAATGGCGTGATCTTGGCTCACTGCAACCTCTGCCTGCCAGGCTCTAGTGATTCTCTTGCCTCAGCCTCCTAAGTAGCTGGGATTACAGGCGCCTGCCACCACGTATGGCTAATTTTTGCATTTGTAGCAGAGACGGGGTTTTGCCATGTTGGTCAGGCTGGTCTTGAAACTCCTGACCTCAGGCGATCCACCCACCTCAGCCTCCCAAAGTACTGGGATTACAGGCGTAAGCCACTGCGCCCAGCTTAGACATCTATCTTTTGGTAAACATTCTACATACTACATATGCTCTCCCTGGCACATTCATTATTCAACAAATATTTACTAAGCCTCTTTTATGTACGTGGTGCTGTTCTGAGTCCTGGGGTTATAGCATTTGATAAGACAAAAAAAAAAATCCTTATCCCCAAATGCTTACACTATAATAGGATGTTCTTTAAATCTCAATATCTTCAAATTCAGTTGATTTTTCTATCAATTTCGATTTATTGAAGAAATCTTCCTGGAGATGTCTGACCTGCGCCAGTCAGCCTGACTGCTGTCTAAGCCTACGCTGTCACCTTGGAGGCCACCTTCATCACTATCCTGGGGACACCTTTCTCCTCTCAGATTGGATGCCCCGGTTCCTAGACCCTCTTTCTCTTTTTAAGTTTAATTCATCATTTTTTGTGAGGAACATTCTGCAGTGGCTTCCTGAGGGGAAAAAATGTCTATGAGATAAACTTTTTGAAACATTACCAGTCTCAAAAGATTTTTATTTTACCCTCATGCCTGGTTGATAGTTTGCCTAGGTATAAGATTCTAGGTTGCAAATCCCTTTTCCAAAACTGTGAAGTCATTTGTTCTCATGCTCCTCTAGTATCCATTTCGCTGTTGAAAAATCTGATGTCTTTCTGATTACAACTTTTTCTTTTTTTAGAGATGGTGTCTTGTTCTGTTGATCTCAAAATCCTGGTCTCAAGCAATCCTCCTGCCTCAACCTTCCAAAGTGCTCGTATTAGAAGTGTCAGCCACTGTGCCTGGTGACTTTCTGATTCTTAATCCTTTGTAAGAACCAGGTTTGTCTTTCCCAAAGGTTCTTTTTATTCCCAATATTCTGAAATTTCATGATTAATGGCCTTGAAACAACTATTGCTTTCCTTCCTTCCTTTGCTTTTTTCCTTTTCTCTTTCCTCCCTCCCTTATTCCTTTCTTCCCTCCCTCGCTTCTTCCCTCCCTCCCTCCCTTCCTTCCTTCCTTTCACTTTTTATGAAGACAGTTTTATTTTATTTTATTTTACTTTATTTGAGACGGAGTCTGACTCTGTCACCCAGGCTAGAGTGCGATGGTGTAATCTTGGCTCACCGCAACCTCCGCCTCCCAGGTTCAAGTGATTCTCCTGCCTCAGCCTTCCGAGTAGCTGGGATTACAGGCATGCGCCACCATGTCCAGCTAATTTTGTGTTTTTAGTAGACATGGGGTTTCTCTTTGTTGGTCAGACTGGTCTCAAACTCCTGACCTCAGGTCATCTGCCCGCCTTGACCTCCCAAAGTGCTGGGATTACAGGTGTAAGCCACCGCGCCAGCCAATTTTTTGTATTTTTAGTAGAGATGAAGTTTCGTCATGTTGCCCAGGCTGGTGTTGAACTCCTGAGGTCAGAAAATCCATCTACCTTGGCCTCCCAAAGTGCTAGGATTACAGGCATTTGCCACCGTGCCCGGCCTCTCATGGTGTTTTTAAAATGTGACACCATCCCTCCAATGTCCTGTAAACTGGTAGCTCAATCCAGAGGCCTGATTAGATTTCAGTTCAGCTTTTGGCAAAAATATTTTATAGAAAGGATTTCTATTTTCTATGGTGTCATCATAGGAGGCACATAATATCTAATTGTTCCTCAACGATCTCTCCCAATTTGAAAATAAAATTTCTTCAGTTCTGTAATAATTTTCATGAATTATTTCTTTGAGTATTTTCTTTCCTCCTCTCCCCATTATCTGTATCTTCACTTTCCAGAACTGGAATTATTCAGGTGTTTGACCTCTTGGAATGACTTTCTGCTTTCACTGTTTTTTTTTTTTCTCTTTGTCTTTCCAATTTTTCATTTTTTGTCTTTGGGTCTACTCTCTGAGTATTATCTTCCAACCTGTACTAAGTCAAGCTTCTGTGCAGGAGACAGGAAGAGAAACCACCCTAGGTATTGCAGGCAGGAAGGGATTGACTACAGGGAATTAGGTGGTTACAAACTCATGAGAAGAGCAAGAGTTGCAGAAGTCCAGGAGGCTTTTGTTTCAAAGTCACCATAGATGTGATTGAGAGGTCAGAGGTGCTGCTGCAACTCCTGCTCTGATCATTGTAACTATCTGACACACAGGAAGCTGGGGACTAGGCAATGGATCAGGGAGTCTAGCCACTTTGATTTTGCTCAGAAGTAAAGTTCAAAGATAAAGAGGGCTGTTTGGCTTGAATGAGAAGGTGAAATTGCAAGCCAGTTTATGATATTTCAAGGTGTTTGATATACATCCAACCAATTGTGGCTTTTCATTTTAATGGAACAGGGGCTAAGATTCTAACTCAGAGAGGTCTATAGGTTTAATCAGAAATACAGCTCCTACAGCTATCACTAACTATGCTAGACAAGGGTAGGCTGTGTCAAGGAGACCAGAATTCCTCTGCACTTACTGAATTGAATTTTGGGCATATAATCACCTCTGTTCTCATATAAATGAAGCCACTAGAAAGGCAAGTAATGTTAATATTAAAAGAAAACAGTAGAAAAAGGATTCTGAACTGCATTTCAATTTCATTATAGCTGAACCAGAAGTAAGTCTTACAATGAGTCTAGACTCTGCAGATTTCTACATGCAGAGCAAGTGGCAAGACTTGTCATGCTCAGTATTTCCCCATGCGTTGGAAAGTTCACAGAGCTATCTGCCTCCAGTCTCTTTCTTTAGGGTGCCAGCTGGGCAAAAAAGAACCATTAATTTATTGATTATTTGTATGTATCTTTTAAGAATGATATCTTTTAGCATTTAAGTAGAAAAACACCTGCTGTATTCATTTTAAATAATGTTTGTTGTTGTTGCTATTGTTGTTTTGAGATGGGGTTTTGCTCTTGTTGCCTGGGCTGGAGTGCAATGGTGCGATCTTGGCTCACCGCAACCTCCACCTCCCGGGTTCAAGCAATTCTCCTGCCTCAGCCTCCCCAGTAGCTGGAATTACACGCATGTGCCACCACACCTAGCTAATTATATATTTTTAGCAGAAACAGGGTTTCTCCATGTTGGCCAGGCTGGTCTTGAACTCCCAACCTCAGGAGATCCACCTGCTCAGCCTCCCAAAGTGCTGGGATTACAGGCGTGAGCCACCATGCCCAGCCTTAAATAATGTATTACATAGTAATACATGATATATTTTTATTGTAAGAAAACTAAAATATTAAAGATTAAAAACTAAAATCCTTTGTGATCAACCACCCCCCCAATGCCATCATTTCTCCTCCCCAGAAGTAACCACATATCAATTATATGTAGCAACATGTATCAGTAATGGTAGGTGAAGATATGCTGTAATATCAAATATCCTCAAAGTCTCAGTGTCTTATAATAGCAAGAATTTATGTCTTTTTTTGTTTCTTTGTTTTTTGAGACAGGGTCTCACTCTGTCTTCAGTCTGGAGTGCAATGGCATGATCATGGCTCACCGTAGCCTTGACCTCCTGGGCTCAGGTGATCCTCCCACCTCAGCCTCCCAAGTAGCTGGGACTACAGGTGTGTGCCACAACACCCACCTAATCTTTTATGTTTTTTGTGGAGACGAGGTTTCACCATGTTGCTCAGGTTGGTCTTGAACTCCAGGGCTCAAACAATCCATCTGCCACAGCCTCCCAGAGTGCTGGGGTTACAGGCCTGAGCCACTGTGCCCAGCCTAAAAATTTATATCTTGATTGCATGTTTGTCATAGGTTGCATTCAGCTGTATCTATGGACACAGCTGGAAGAAGCAGCTGGAACATGCTGATTTCATGGAAGAAGGAAAAGAGAGAATGTGGGAACCTCTTAAAGCTTCTGCTTGGATGTCTCCCATGTCACTTCCACTCATATTCCCTTGGCCAAAGCAAATCATATGGCTATGCCTGATTTGTGTGGGTGGGGATGTAGAATCCTTCCATAGGGCAAGTCAATAAAAAAATTTCCATACTTTTATAGAGTGTGTAAAACTCTAAAAATAGATACCGTTTTTATATAATTCATTAGGGTACTGAATCTTACTTTCTTCGTGCAAAAATATGTCTTAGAAGTCTTTCCATGTTATACAAAGAGATCCATCTCTTTTTAATTTAATTTTGTAATTTTTTAAAAGTCAGGGAAGATGTCACCATCTTTTTATTATTTAATATTTATTTATTTATTGAGACAGAGTCTTGCTCTGTCACCCAGGAGTGCAGTGGCACGCAATCTTGGCTCAGTGCAACCTCCACCTCTCCTGAGTTTAAGTGATTCTCCTGCCTCAGCCTTCTAAGTAGCTGGGATTACAGGTGCCTGCGACCACACGCAGCTAATTTCTTTGTATTTTTAGTGGGGATGGGGGTTTCACCATGTTGGCCAGGCTGGTTTCAAACTCCTGACCTCAAGTGATCCCCCCGCCCTTGGCCTCCCAAACTGTTAGAATTACAGGCGTGAGCCACTGTGCCCCACTAATTCTTCCATTTCTTATTGGAGAATGTCAAAGAATTCATCTCCAATCAGCCAGTGGAACGTTGCATTTTATTTATTTGTTAATGGTTTGCAACCCATAAAATAATTCATACATTATTTCAACATGAATGGCCAAAATGTATTGATTATTACAGCTGGATGGCAGGAATAGCCTAGGTCACAGGTGGGTGGATAACAGACAAAACTATTTTTACTCTTTTCTTTTTGAGACAGAATCTTGCCCTGTCACCCAGGCTGGAGTGCAGTGGCAGAATAGTGCCTTACTGCGACCTCTGCCTTTTGGGTTCAAACAATTCTCCTGCCTTAGCCTCCCAAGTAGCTGGGATTACAGGCACCCGCCACCACACCCAGCTAATTTTTGTGCTTTTAGTAGAGATAGGGTTTCACCATGTTGGCAAGGCTGGTCTCGAACTCCTGACCTTGTGCTCCACCCGCCTTTGCCTTCCAAAGTGCTGGGATTACAGGCATGAGCCACCGCACCTGGCCGCATTTTTACTCTCTAAATTCCTCTTCCACTACCCTATCACTGATTTTGTCTACCTTCCAGCCATCTCCCTTATTTGAGCAACAATGCATGGGGAATAGGTAGCGGGCTCTGCAGTGCATACCACTCAGACCCCTCCCCAGGAGACCCCTCCCCAGGATAGGGCATTTATTACCTCAGCTGCTGGGAGCATTGGCTGCTGTCAGCTCTCAGCTGAGTCCCTATGACTGTTCAATGTGGACGTTCCAACATCCTGTCCTCTTGCCATCCCAGCTCCATATTCCTCATGGCATTAGCTGAGGCTTCTGCTGAGGCTCCATTGCAGTTTGACTTTTCCCTTCCACAGATGTGATCCTGACAGCACTCTGCAATAGACTTCCTGGCTGCAACTCTCCATCTTGGAGTCTGATTCCTGGGGACCTGGCTCACAACAGCCCACCACAGGCTCTGAAGTCAGACAGAACTGGGTTTCAGTCTTATCCGAAACACCAACTAGATATGTAATCCTAGAGATGGTAAGTCCACTGTATACCTTGTATGCCTCACATTTTTAATATATAAAAATGCAATAATACTATTACAGTAAGTCCTCACTGAATGTTGATAGTTTCTTAGAAACTCCAACTTTAAGTGAAATAATGCATAATGAAACCATTTTCCCCTCATAATCGTAATGGAAAGGTCATTACTTCAGGACATGCTGCACATCATTTTACTCCAAGTCAAAGTTTCCAAGAACCCATCAATGAAGTTAAGTGAGAACTTACTATATACATTTCTTGCAGTTACTGAGGATGAAATCACACTTGTAAAGCACAGAGCACATGCTAGGTGCTCAACACAGGTGCCAGCATGTTAGTAGTTAGTATTACATTAAACCTATAATCTTAGTAGAGTAATTGGGAGAGCCAGGGCAGAGGAGATGGAGAGATTTTGCTAAAATTAATTCTCTCCTTTCCCCTCCTTGCCTGCATTTCCAGTGCCCTCACGCCCGGCTAAAGCAGAAGTAGACCTGTTGTGTTAACTTGTTTCCAGAAGATGGCGCCAGCAGATAATGCTACAGTCCAGTCCCTTTCAGGAACAATTTTCTTTTCTTTTTATTTTTTGAGCTGGAGTCTCTGTCGCCCAGGCTGGAGTACAATGGTGCAATCTCGGCTCACTGCAACCTCCTCTGTCTCCCAGGTTCAAGCGATTCTCCTGCCTCAGCCTCCCAAGTAGCTGGGATTACATGCATGTGCCACCACGCCCAGCTCATTGCTGTGTTTTTAGTAGAGAGAAGGTCTCAGTATGTTGACCAAGCTGGTCTTGAACTCCTGGCCTCAAGTGATCCACCCGCCTCGGCCTCCCAGAGTGCTGGGATTACAGGTGTGAGCCACCATGCCTGGCCAGCAACAATTTTCACTGTTCACAGATTACATATCAACTTCACATGTGTTATCTTATTTGATTCTCTTTCACCAACCATTTACCAAATGCTGATTATTCCATCATTTATTCTCTTATTCCTTCACGACAAATGCTTACTGAGCGCTTACTCTAGCCAAAGAGCATCTTTAAATGCCTTCTCAAACATGACTAAGAAACAAAAAAGGGGATAGAATTCTAAACCCCTGCTGGAGAGCTGGACTTTCCAGAGATGACTAAGGCAACCTCTAGCCACCGATTTCTTTCTGGTTCTGGATTGATATCAACTCATGCTCTGGAAGGAGGCTACTTTAAAAAGCAGACGAAGCATAATTCAAGTGAAACTAAGTCGGAAAGAAAATGACGCCCTTGTAGGAGCAGCTGGGGTGCATCTCAGAGACTGTCCACAGTACTTCCCAAGGGCTATTGATCTGAGAGCAGAGCATTTGGTCCCTGGACTGGTGAAAATTGCTGAGCAGGTGAAAGAAGAACAAAATCCATAAGGGGAATGGAGAAGAGATGTTGGAGGGCTCCAGTGGAGGGAAGGTTAGCTGGACTGCATTCAGGAGCTCCAGACAGAGGGGACTCTGCAGGTCCTTGAGCTTCGCAGGCAGGCCCACAAGCAAACCTGGAAACCACAAGACCAGGGCCTGGCGATCTATTTCTATGGTGGGGATAGAGGGGCTCCCCCTCAGCCTTCTCACACTCACTCCAGAACTGTGACAGTAGCTCACCTGAGGATCACCTCAGCAGTGCAGTTTTACGGGTGTCAAGAAAGGCTGCTTCTACGGGTGAAATATCTTTTAACAATCAGTCTCTGTCTGGTACCCCAAATGGCACCGCTAGTGTCTTTTTTTTCATTTTTTTTTTTTTCTTTTTTTTTTTTTTTTTTTTTTGAGACAGTCTCATTCTCTCACCCAGATTGGAGTGCAGTGGCATGATCTCAGCTCGCTGCAATCTCTGCCTCCTGGGTTCAAACACTTCTCCAGCATCAGCCTCCCGAGTAGTTGGGACCGCAGGTTTGTGCCACCATGCCAGGCTAAGTTTTCTATTTTTTGTAGAGACGAGGTTTCACCATGTTGGCCAGGCTGGTATCCAACTCCTGACCTCAAATGATCTGCCCATCTTGGCCTCCCAAAGTGCTGGGATTACAGGCATGAGCTACTGTGCATGACCCATTAGTGTCCTTTAATGTGAGTATTGCAGGAGTTAAGAACAGGACTTCTTTATAGAAATGTATAATTATACTGGTTTGGAGAAAAGTCTACAAATGTACATATCAGTTGTTAATAGGGGGTTATCATGAGTCAGAAAGTGTGGAATGAGTAAGGGAGATTAATGGAGTTTGGAAAAGGAAGAGGAAGAGGATAGGTAAGAAAAAAATCATGGGATTTCCAACTTTCTGGAATCCCCTCCCACATGGTGGGAGCTCCCTCTGGGATTTCCCCTTTGGAATCCCCTTCCACACTCTTCGTGGAAGCCTTTCTCCTCCTTTCCTTCTCTTTTCTCTACCTAAATAAAATCACCTTTCTGCAACAACAACAAAAAAATCATATTTAAAAAGTGTCCTCTTGACTAAAAGAATGTGTATTATTTGTTTTGATGTATGAAAATGGTTATTTCTATTGCCCATATACATTAAGACAGGCATGAAAGATGCCCATTAAAATGTTAACAGAAGTTATCATAGGCTCATGAGATTTCAAAGACTGTTAACTTTCTTCCTTATAACTTTATATATTTAAATTTTTATAGGGAGCATTTAAATCAGGAAAGCGGGAACAAACAAAATTAAGAACATTATTGTAAGCCAAATGAGAAAAACAGTAACACAGCTGAGCCATTCAAATTCTGATTTCTCTATTCCATGACTGTGTGACTCTGAAGGAATTACTTAACTTCTCTGATCCTCAGTTTCTTCCTCTTTAACTTTTATTTAATGAGACAGTGCATTAGTCAAGTTTCTCTAGCGGGACAGAACTAATAGGATAGATGTATATATGTAAGGGAGTTTATTATGGAATATTGATTCACATGAGTTTTGTTGAAAGTGTATAGAGTAGATTATAGAGTCACAGGGAAACTAAACTCAGAGGTTGAGAAGCCAGGCATGGTGTCTACATTCGCATCAACAGAATTGGCCTAGGGACACTGCTGGCCTTCTGGCTCCAGACACCCAGTGCTGCCCGTAACCCCACTGGATTGTTGTCTCTGGAACTTGATCTTACTCTCCCACCACACCTGCCAGAGAACAGTCTCCATATAAGTTTGAAAATTGAAGTCCATGTCAGATGCACCTGGTGAGCAATGCCTAAGTCACACACTGATATCTGCCATGCAAGGGGGACATGGCATTTTCTGCCTCTGCAGAGTTGAATTCTGGGTTCCAAGGAGTTTAATGAAATAGGTAATTCCCTTACACACAGGAAGTGTGTTCAGATGCATCCAGCTGGTAACAGAGTCTTACTAGCTGGATACTCACAGTAAAATTCTTGAAATCTCAGTACCCAAGTTTCCCTGTCTGCAAAATGGAAATTATATTAGTACCTTCCTCAAAATATTATTCACAGGATTAAAAGAATTAATACATGTGAAATTATTACAATGATATCATCCATATAATGGTTTAATGAATGCTAGATCTGATTTTTCAGTTATGTGAACCTTTTGGCTTAAACTATTTGAGATTTGGTAGTTACTTTTTTTTTTTTTTCTACTTGCAACTTACAGTTCTAACTAATGTGAGGACTAATGTTACACAGGATTGTTGTAAAGCTGGAGTGAGAAAATCTGTGTAAAGTTCTTGGTACATGGTGATATGGTTTGGCCGTGTCCCCACCCAAATCTCATCTTGAATTGTAGCTCCTGTAATTCCCATGTGTCATGGAAGGGACCTGATGGGAGGTAATTAAATCATGGGCACGGGTTTTTTTCCATGCTGTTCTTGTGATATAAGTCTCATGATATCTGATGGTTTTATAGGGGAGTTCTTCTGTACATGCCCTCTTGCCTGCTGCCGTATAAGACGTGACTTTGCTGCTCCTCATTCACCTTCTGCCATGATTGTGAACTGTGAGTCAGTTAAACCTCTTTTCTTTATAAATTATCCAGACTCAGGTATGTCTTCATTAGTAGTGTGAGAACAGACTGATATACATGGGAAGCTCTCAGTAAATAATATTAATATCTACTTATTACTGGTATTAATACTGTTACTACTAATTAATGGTTTTTATGACCTTCTCTTATGTAACTGCTAAGACCAAGGTTTTGTAAGAGGTACCTGAAAGGGCAGTCTAGGGAGGGGTTTCGAGTATTTGGAGTTTACAAGAGGTATCAGGACACCAAAGAGAAAGAACACTGAGGAAGGAAATGGACTTACAGGTAAACTCAGAAAATAGTTGTTGAACGGATGATGAAGAAGATAAAAGAATAAAAGATAAAAGAGGCTCCTTCTTCTAGTAGCAAGAGTTATATTCATTGTGAGGGACCTACTCTGAGCCACATACTGTGCCAGCTCTTGGAGCTACAGAGATAATACGAAGCACTGTATCTATTTACTTTTTTTTGAGACAGGATCTGGCTCTGTTGCCCAGGCTGAATACAGTGGAGCGATCATGGTTCACTGTAACCTCAACCTCCCTTACTGAAGCAATCCTCCCACCTCACCCTCCCAAGTAGCTGGGACCACAGATGGGTGCCACACCTAGCTAATTTTTTTGAATTTGTTTGTTTGTTTGGTAGAGATGAGATCTCACTATGTTTCCCAGGATGGTGTCAAACTCCTGGGCTGAAGCGATCTTTCACCTCAGCCTTTCTTTTCTCTTTGAGACAGAGTCTTGCTCTGTTGCCCAGGCTGGAGTGCAGTGGCACAATCTCAACTCACTGCAGGCCCCCCCGTCTGGGTTCAAGAACTTCTCCCGTTTCAGCCTCCTGAGGAGTTGGGACTACAGGCGCATGCCACCACGCCTGGCTAATTTTTGCATTTTTAGTAGAGACAGTTTCAACATATTGGTCAGGCTGGTCTCAAACTCCTGACCTCAGGTGATCCACCCACCTCAGCCTCCCAAAGTGATGGAATTACAGGCGTGAGCCACTGCACCTGGCCTCC